ATAGTAGAGAAATTCCACTTATGGTATAATTCTAATTACAGAAGGAAATCTCATGATTAGCTGATTAACCGTTTCTGATTAGATCCGTTCCGAGATTTACGCCATGATCCTCGACCAGTCACTGAGATTTATGCCATGATCCTCGACCAGTCACAGATATCTCGCCTTTTATTATTATGCTATATTTGATCGTGCTCGATGTCTGTCCCATTTTGCTTCGATCACTACTAGCCTCGATCTCGACAGGTACCTCGATTCTGAACTTGGTACCTTATCCTCGTGATTTAGTCTGTTCCGTTACGAGGTCGTCCTTCGATGCAACCTCCCGGTCTCGGTCAAATAGTAAAATTGGGTGGGCCTGGTTTTAACCGTATACAGATAGTCCCCTCGTTTTTTGGAGTGTAATGACAAGAAACGAATTGAGTCTTTGATTTTCTACCTCGACCTGTCATGACGTCATCCTTGTGACGTAAGCGACAGAAGTGACTGAAACGTCCCATCTGTACAGTTACTAAGGCATTAAATGCGCGTCAGTCGATGGTCGGCCACGGCCAATTTTGAACCGTCATTGTGAAATCTATAAATAGCTCATCTCTTCACCATTTCAAACTTTTATTTTTAAATTTCTAATCTCCAAAGCTTTTTACATCTTCTAAGTTTTTCATCTGCAAATCTAAGATTTTCACTGCTAACCTCTTCTTAGAACACTAAATCTTATTATCTCCATCTATTTTTAACCTCAAATCCAAATGGAAAAAATGTCAAAAACTATTCCTCAAAAGGAAAACGCTTCTTCATCGCGGCCGGCCGGCGACAAAATACCGGTAGAGCCGCACCCTGAGGAGTGTATTCCCGGGGGGTGCGTCCTCACTTCTAACTTTAAGACCGACAAAACTTCGTCGGCCCCTGGTCGATGCGAGCCAATGTCGAGGTATATATGCTCGATAACTAAGAGCTTCCTTAAGCAGATGAAGAAATACTGCAACTGGGAAGGCAAATAAATGGTGATTCCGGGCCCCGAGGAAGACATCACTACCCACGTGGAAGGTTTTCTGAGTGTTTACACTTACCCTTTCACGCTGGACCCCCTCGATCCTATTATCGTCGATTTCTGTCGCAGGTATCAAATAACCCTAGGTCAAATCCATCCCTCCTTTTGGCGGATTGTTATTCTGCTCCGATTTTTCGTGAGCAAAGTTAAGGGGATTCCTTTTACCCTCGACCACCTCATCAGGTTGTATAGCCCCCGCCTCTATCGAGATAGGTTAATAAAACTTTATTGTCGGGCTACCAAGGTGTTGTTCTCGAGCATAGATGATGACAAGGACCGAGGCTGGATTGGCCAGTTCATTTGAGTGAGGACTTCCGACCTGATCCCGGTTGAGAAGATGTCATTTCCCGAGAAATGGAATATGAAGCGTAAGTACAATCCCACTGTTAGCTCCTATTTATTATTTTGCTCCTTTGTTTCTTCTCATCGATATCCTTTTCTGTGATGTAGCGATCGCTTGGATGACCGGTGCATTTCCTAAACTCGAGAGCTGGGTTTGGGACATGGCCTCGACCTCTACGTACGTCGAGCGCTCATGGTGCGATTTACCAAAGGGCCGATGGGAGGCCAAAAATAATGGTAAGCCCCTTTTCTATGTCTTTAATGATTTTGTTAAAGCATTTCTTACTTAATTTCCTTTCATACAGGCCTTGGCAAGGATGCTGTCATGAGGCCCCTATCTGGTAAGGAGGATACTTTGATCCCGGCACCAAAACCGGTGAAGGACAAAAAGAGGAAAAAGACCTCAACCTCCGAGGATCCAGGACCTAAGAAGAAGGCGGCTCGTAAGCCGAAGAAGAACATCATCCTTCTGACCGAAGACTTTGTTCGGCGTCTAAGGGAGGAAAATGAAGAAGAGGAAGAAGATGACTCCAGGCTGGTGACCCGAGTGGGAATGAGCACCGAGGCCCCAAAGGCCACTGAATCGGTGAAGGCTGCAGAGACTCCATCTTGAGATGAGGGGATCTTAGGAAGAGACTTGGGCGAAGTCCCCGAGTCATCGAGAATTGAAGATGCCTCCCACCATAATGAGCCAACGGTGGGTACGGCTGTAAGGGCTGGTCTCGAGGCCCCTCGAGATGGAGAGAATGCCCCAAGTGATCCACTTGGGGAAATAGAAATTAGAGGCTCCCCGCTGCTCCCCTCATTTTCTGAGGAGATGATTCAAGAGGCTCGGGCCTTGAAGACCCTCTCCATCGAAGGAGCCCACGGAAAGGAGGACCCCTTCCGTGATTACTTTACTGGGGTTGAAGATGCTACCGGCCTGAGCGACTTGGAGGTATCGAGGAAGGACTCAGGCGAGGCATCGAGCCTTTTCAACGAAGCGCAACAAGCTCTGAATTGGGTAAGCCTTAACTCTCCTTGTTGGTATTACCCTTGTGTTCATTTTTCTCTTCCTGTCTAACTTCTTTTCTTCTTTATGCGTAGGCCTCATCGCTTCATCGGGAAGCATTTTATCGGTCTCGAGCTGAGATGAGTCGGTATGGGGCCTACATTCAAAGGCTAACCGAGGAGAGGAATTCCCTCAACCTTCTCGGTGGGCAAAAAGAAGAAAAGATCAAGGACCTCTGAGCCGAGTTGGCCACGGCTCACAAAGATCAGACCGACCTGATCGAGAAAGTAATGAAAATCTTAAAAGCTAATGGGCTCGGTTCGAGAATGGTGGATAACATTTCAATCTCACAGCTGTAGCAGAAGGTCGAGATGATCGAGCAGTTCCGTGAGGAGGTCAACATGATAAAGACGGAGTCCTTAGGGTGGAAAGAAGGTATGGACCGCTTTGCTACAGAAAAAGAGACTGCTCAAGCCCAATTGTCATCGGTCGAAAGTCAGCTTCGAGGCATGAAGGATAAGAGCTCGACTCAGGCAAAGAAAATAGAGGAGCTCGAGGCTCGGTTGGCTTCCGAACTTGCAAATGCCAAATCTGAAGCCGAAAAGGCAAAGGCCTAGAAAGATGCGATCGTGGCCGTCTACTCGAGCACATTGGATTTCTGAACTCACCAAATGCCAATCTCGAAGGGAAACCCTCAAGGATATCCACACTCAAGGATTCAATCTTATTGACAAGATAATAAAGGCTAGAGAGCATGAAGCTGATGCTGGAGCGCTGGCCTCTTCCGATGATGATGATGATAGCAGCAAGATCGGGTTCGAGAATGGGGAGGACCTTGATTAGGAATCTTAGGCTTTTTCTTTTTTGATTTTTGTACGAGACCCTGATCGGTCCTTGTAAATATCTTTGTATATGTAAAAGATCTTTTTTCTCTTTGACTTGTCTTTATTCTACTTCGTGCCTCGTGAAAATTCTGTTTCATTCATACTTTATGAAAAATTTGCTCATAAGTTCGAGGCTTAGGCAACTTGATCGAAGCCGGACTAGTG